TAGCATTTGTATATGTTCTCAATTCTCACTATTTTCAAAATAAATATCAATGATTTTCAAAAAATCCTAAAATATCGAGACAAATTTAATTTTTTTCGGAATCAGAAGTATTTGTTCTTCGGCATCAATATGTTTATTGCAAGGTACATTCAGATTCTCACGTAGGGCTGGATCACTGTTTACTCTCTATTCTCACCTGCGAAATGCTTTTATTGTTTTGTAATAAATATTATTCTGTAAATATGGAGCATTCCACGCCAAATTGGACGGTTTTAAAAATTTTTATTTTTGATTTCCGCCATTTTTTGATATCTTGTAGTACCCATCGAAAAACCCTTCCTCCTAAATTTTGGCATTTTTTTGATCATCCGTTCCAAAGATATCGAATTTAAAAAAAAAAAACAGCTCTTTCTGTGGTTTATAGCCCGTAACTTTTTTAAAACTCATCCAAATGAAAATTACCACTCTACATAAAAGTTTTGTTTTTTAATGTACTTTTTGAAAAAAAATTCAAAAAAATTATTTAAAGTGTCTTAATACGTTATTTTCGATTTTTAAACTTTAAATTGCATTTTTTAAAGTGAGTGCATATTTTGATTTTCTTCAAAATTTTTTACAGAAAACTACTACTAATTTCACAACTTTTTAGGCCGGTCTGGCTGTGGGCCTTCGATAACTACTATTTTTTTTCGATTTCTGAAAATAAAAAAAATTTTTTTTTTTTTTAATTTTTGTAATTTATTTCTCTCTTTTAATGTATTTTGAATCCCTTTACATATATTTTTTTTTATTATAACAAGCGTAGGAAAGTCTTAATTACTGATTTAGATTAATAATTAACAAAAATAAGAAAAGTCTTGATTTATTTTCGTGATTTTTTAAAAAAATTTTGGCAGTCTATTATTCAATACAATTTTTTGTAATGAAATAGCTTTTTTATGTGGATAAAAGCATTATATACTATTTATATATATATATATATATATATCGATAAGCAAATAACAACAACTAATGAGTTACATGAATAGGCATCTGAACCAAACAGTCTACCAAATATTGCTGTAAAGTTTTCACCTGAATCAGATTACACAGAAGGAAAGATAAAGCTAGATATGAAATACAATAACGCGAAGCCAATCACCGGAACCCAAAAATTGCATAGTACTCTTCCAAAAGATAATGGAACCATGCAAGTTAAAGAATATTCAAGTTCTATTTATGATCGCACATGTAAAATTTTCAAAAAATGGTTTCATGGTTCCATTATCTTTTGGAAGAGTACTATGCAATTTTAATTTGCCGACCAAAATTGTTCCGTTCTTTTTCAGGCATCCAAAGGAATTAGTTGCAACAACAACAAAAATACTTGGATGTACTGACCTATGATAAAGATATCTCAAATTCCCAGAAGGACTATCATCTATTTGAGTTTTAAAGAAGGATATATTATATTTACTTAGTTTATGACGAGGCATCTTTCTGTCGATAAGCATCCTACGATTATGGTGTCTATCTGTGGTTTTCGCATTCGGCATTCTATTTTGATTGTTAGAATTTGGAAAGCTTAAGAAATTTAAGTAAAAGAGTGCTCGGTCCATTTATCTTACTTTGTGCCTTTCAATCTGTGGTACAAGAAATCATTAATGGCGTGTTACGTCATGTCAATGATTTATAAAATAAGATCGAATAGGTGTTAGTGAATTGTAATTTCATTTATAATTCCGTTTCTAGAATCTTTCATTTATATTACGAGTTATGGTCGTATTGGTGGTTTATTGTAACTACTGAAAATTACATGCCTTTTGATTAAATTACTGAATTGTTGCGTTCTTGCTTTTCATACATACTACTAGATTTGATCTTGTCAGTTTTTTTTTCACATAATGTATTGAAAATAGTTTCGTCTGCTTTTATATAAACTGCTAAATTACAATCATTCGTGGATTAATCATACTATTGTAAAATGTATATAAATAAGATTTATGTATGTTCGGTTTAATTTAAATCTATATTTTCTCTTTTTTTCAATTAATATATTAAAAATGATTGAAATGTAAAATTTAAACTGCATACTGTAACTTCATTAATCTAAATTACATATAAATAAAATTAAAATTTACTTTAAGGTGTGTTCGCGCGTACTATATGTTATGCTGACGCGAATCCGTTTTCAACTAGGGTACCGTTTTTAAGTTTCAATTATACGCGAGTTGCACGGAAGTCTCACGACGGTAAACTAATACAGTGTGAGTGGTTTTGTAGTATTACTAAAGTTAATTCTTCAGTCAACAATGCTTTATTAATTTAAGTCTTTGGCGACTATGTTACAATTGTTCGATGTGGACTGTATAGATGTAAAGTGTATAACACAAAAATGTATAATGAGCAAAGGGTGTAAGTATATGAAGAAGAGTATGTATTACGAACAGAGACGAACGAACCATCTTACTGGATTGCACATGGTTTTATATCTGAATTAGTTACACCCCTTTGGAGAGGGAAGGAACTGAATGCAACTTATCAACCAATAATAGGAGGGTCCACCCACTAGAGTGACCCGATGGGAAAGTTTATGTTTTTTGGGAAGGATGGTAGTGGGGGTTTCTGGGAACATAAGGAATTTCTTTTCTAAATAGTACCCTTCCCATGTGCATTGTCTCATGATCACTTAAATATTGTGTATCACTTGAAGGACCCAACACTGGTATGCTTTTAGTTACCCAATATGTTTCGATGGTCTTTGAAATGGTTAGAAAATTTATGGTAATCATAAATTTTCTTCATCCTTGAGTGGAATCTTTAAAATAGACGATACCTTATACCTAAGGCTTGACATATTCCATAATATTTGGTTCCATAAACTAATGGTATGGTTTTTCTCAAATGAAATTTAATATATGAAAAAATAACTGAATAAAAATTATCGTCTATACATGGTTTGGTACCGAACAAGATGATTAATATATTTTTTAATAAATTTTTAAAAAGTCTCGGCGTGCCGGGTATTTGACATGTTCGCTATAAGTAGTTTTATTTATTATTTAAAGAAAGAATCTAATCAACAATGTGGAGCATTCAAATAATTTTATAAGTAAACCAGAACAACTTAAAAAAGCTGGTACATATTAAGTTTTAAATGCTTCTTTCTTATTGTGTTTTCAAATGGCATTTCGATATTATTAATAATATCATTTATTATTAATAATTATTTTTTTTAGTTAGGCCTAATTATAAAACATAAATTGTGTTTTAGGTGGATACTAAACACTTTTTTACTTGGATATAAAAGAGAGTTGCAAGAGACCGATTTATATTCGCCATTGAAAGAGGATGAAAGTAATCTTCTGGGAGATCGCATTTTTAAAATTTGGGAAGATGAAGAAAGAAAATGTCGAGAGAGAAATGACGGATCTGTACCACGATTGTATATAATATTGATAAAATGTTTTGGAAAAAGTATTATGTTACTTGGAATTGCTTTAGCATTTTTAGAGTTTTTTAGCAGGTGGGAAAATATTAAATAAATATTTTATGAAGTTAATAATGTAGTGTTATCGTTTCGTAATTGCAATTTTAAATTGATAAATTTTATTTAAAATATTTACATTGTAAGATGAATTTTTTGTTATCTGACATTAATGACAATTATATTCAATGTTTTTAGAATTGTTCAACCATTGATACTCAGAAACTTGTTGCATCTCTTAAACACAAAAAAAGAAGTAAATTCAGAAATGTATTATTATGCTGCTGGGTTCATCTTATTTCCCTTCATGGACTGTTTCATTTTCCATTTAACTTTGCAAGAATTAATGCACTTTGGAATGAGAATAAAAGTAGCCTGTTGCTCTTTGATTTATAGAAAGATACTCAAATTGTCTAACTCTGTTTTTGGAAATGGAACATCGGCTGGACAAGTAAGAGATATTATTCTTTTTCTTTCTTTTAAATTAGTTTATTGGACATAAAATAGGCTGAAAGTTTATTTAAAGACGAAATAGATAATAACAATAATAAATTTTCGTCCCAGAAAATGAGGTTTTAAAGAAATGTTGCTAAGCCTGTTTTAGCTACTCTGTATTCACCAAGTTTAGCCAGGACCAGGCAGGTAGGCTTTTTCAAGGATTAAATAGTGATAGAAAGAAAGGTAAATAATAAATACTGGACGAGTTTATTCGATGTTAATCTACTTATTAATATATGAAGAATTTCATATAGATCATGGACGATTGGTCAGTTTTGCGCGATTAACTAGGATTTTTCGTCTTCAACTGTTAGCGCTGTTTATGATGAGGGGAGGAATGTGTAATATATATAGCGGTACCAGAGGTAACATAAATTGCCTCGTTAGTTGGAGCAGCCTGAGGTGAAGGGGGTTCCAGAAGAGTAACAATGAGGTCCTTTGGATGGAGGGTTTAGGATTTTCCGCTAGGCTGCGCGTTGGTTTTTCGCGCAATCACCTGCGTTTTCCGTACTCACGAAGCCATTCTCTCTGGCGATTATTTTCACCGTGCGTGGTGCTCGGCATTTATTAATGAACTTTATATTATTGTGAATCCAAGGTAATTGACATAACTATAGGTTTCAAATTAAGTTATCCCCTTTCTTCCTTTAAGTTCCATTGTAAATAAGAGTTGCCATCTAAAACGAGGTTTAGCAATCTGTCTTTGCTTAATATCAACGCTATTTTCACGGTAACTGTCGATTCAGGAGATACATAAATGAATTTTTGAGGAGCATACTTGTCAGGGATGTTGGTCGAAACTTCGTCTTTTATAATTTAGGTGGGAGAAATCAAGAGGAAAGATTCTTGGCGGATCGGTTAGGGAATAAAAAGTGTAAAGATTTCGGATAGCAAAGGTTCTCCTAATTATTAGATCTCTCAGAGTAGTCTCCTAGTAGTCTACTCTTCCTCGACGGCTTCTCTTATGTCGCTTATTTATCGGATACTTAATCAATAATTGATCGATAACTATTTTGTTGCTGCGTTTATATCTTTCTGCGGTTTTCTAGAAAAGACTCGATTGTACTATTACTTTCTTTCATCCAGAACGGAACGATCAGTCGTTTAAAGAACACTGGATAAAATCAGTAAGTTTCTTAAGTTTTACAATTAGTTAGTTGTCAGATTATCGATGGAGAATAATTTTAGTTCTATGCAATTATTAATGAAGTAGGGTGAAGTGGAAATCAAGATACGAATAGTAGGTGGTTAATGGAAATTTTTGTGTCGAAGTCATGATTCTTAACTTTTTATTGAGTTATCTTACTTACAATGATAAAGAAAATATTTGATCTGCAAGTGATATGCTTGATCATTCGGTCGAGCTGCGCTGGACAAGAAGACAGGCCTTTTGAGGCAGTTTATGCTGACTAGCGTTTCTCGGTTGCTTTGCACTTGGCTAAAGTTGACTTATATGGGTTTCGTTCTTGATATTCGTTGGTAAAGAATGTTGTAGGAGAGTTTAGTGAATCAAGAAAGTGACCAGTAAATATGAATCAAAGTTTCATAGGAAACTTAATGAATAATTAACAAACCGAAACGTATAGGTGTTTGATTTATAAAAGTCAATCATATCCCTGAAGGGGATGGCATAGGTCCCACTACTCGATATCCCTTATGTACATATGCCCTCAAAATATGACCATTAATGTACAAAGAGCGTATATATACGTTTCCGAAAAGTACGCGATTAAATACGAAAAAACAAAACGCTCCATATCCAGAGATCATATTTTGTCTCAACCATTCCGGAGCGAAAAGGAAATTGAGTTAGTCAAGTTTCCCTTATTCATAACCACATCGTATAAGACATCACGTACTTTACAGTTCGAAATTATTGAATTCTTTTACCACTCTTGGGTTAGTCATATCACAGCGAAAAAACTATATAGTAAAAACATGGCAAGACATTACACAATTGATAATTATTGTTTGTTTTTATTGCTTTTATAAAAAAAATTTAAAATTGTTTCTGTTCACTTTTTTTTATATACAAATAACGTATATGTAATATTATACAATTTATTATTTTTATATTAACTGTTAACATACGCGGACGATATTGCTTTTTAGGAGACAATAAAGAGTCATTAAGTAATAACGCGAAAATACTAATAGATAATACAAAAGATCTGGGGCTACAAATAAGAGTGGAAAAAACCAAATATATGGTCACCGATAGAATTTAAAATATGCCTAATACTGGAAATTTAGTCGTCCGGGATAAAATTTTTGAACGGGTAAGCAACTTTAGGTATTTAGGATCGATCATAAACCAGACGAACGAAATTAACGAAGAACTTCAGAAAAGAATCAATTTAGGCATTGCGTGCTTTTATTCGGTCAATAAATTATTCAGCTCGCGGGTTGCTGTTTAGGCGATTAAAAATCAGGATATACAGGACAATCATCCTACCGGTAGTCCTTTATGGTAGCGAAACGTGGTCTCTTACGTTACTGGACGAAAAGAAATTTAGGGTTTTCGAAAACAAAGTTCTTCGTAAAATCTTCGGTGCAAAACGCGATGAGAAAACGGGCGAATGGAGAAAACTCCAGAACGAAGAAGTATTAGGTCGAGTCATAAATAACTTCCGTTTTTTATGAGACAAAGAATGATGTTTCTGTCCCTGATAAGTGCACGACACTTTTCATGGTGTTTTTTTTGCACTCTTTGTTTTTGTTGGACGTATGTATTGAATTTTGCTCTAATATTACCTTTAAAAGGTTAGTCAAAGTTGGAAAGACGTCCTGTACTCGGTTCGTCTTTTAAGGTTGTATCTCCAGAACGGAATTTTACAAACCAATTTCTGACTGCCCAATCAGTTATCAATCCTGCACCGTATACGCTGCATATTTTTTCAGCTGCCACTTTCGTGCTATTGCCTTGTTTAAATTCCTAAAGCATTACATGTTGAATATGCACTTTTTACTATCCATTTCAGAAGTTAAGAAAAACTGTTAAATGAAACATTGACTACATAAAAAAGTTGACAGAAGACTAACTGAATCCTCATCTATACAGTGATATCAAAAATTCGTTTGTTTTGGTGACTTATAGTAAGTAAATACGAAAAATAGAATCTACATAGATGCATCGATTGTACAACAAACCGAACATTATCAACGTCATAAAATCACGCCGATTAAGATGGGCTGGTCACGTGGCGCGCACGGGGGAGGATCGAACGGTGCATAAAATACTGGTCGGTATACCGAATGGGAAAAGACCACTAGGTAGACCGAGATGCAGGTGGGAGGACAATATTAGAAGGGATCTTCAAGAAATAGGAAACGAAGCCGCGAATGGAGGGGTCGCGCTCAGGGACGGAACAATGGCGGGATTCAATATTTTCGGCAATGAACTTCCGAGTTCCTAATGTCAATTATTAATAATAATTACAATCTTTTTATATTATAATTTGAAATTTTAAATAATAATGATATGAATTTATTCAATGATCTAATCAAGCAATTAAATAAATTTTAAATTTATGAAATATAAGAAATTAAATATCGTTAATATAAAGTATATTAAATTTTTCAGATGGTTAATCTTATGAGTAATGATGCCAATAGATTAGATTATATAACACATAGTATTCATTATTTATGGATCGGTCCAGTTCAAACATTAATTGTTGCCTGTGTGCTCTATTGGCAATTAGGACTAGCTCCAGTTGCAGGTTTAACCCTGTTTTTATTTTTTATTCCCCTTCAATGTGAGTACGTTTTTCTCTTTAAGACAATTAGAGAATGATCATATTTAGGAAAATGATATTTTATCATTTCAGGGTACATTGGAAAGAAAGCATCTAAGCTAATGCTCTTGTCAGCTCAAAGAACAGATGAAAGATTGCGTTTAATGAATGAGCTGATAACTGGTGTACAGATTATAAAAATGTATGTTTGGGAAATACCATTTTCGCGAATCGTCGAGAAAAACAGGAAGTAAGCGGTTCATATGTCATGTTTTTTCTTATTTAAAACTTTAAAAAGTTCAGAAAATTTATTGTTTATCTTAAATAATGTTTTTATAAATATATGTAATTATATATTTATTCATCAAAATTAGAAAAATATGTTTTAAATTATATTTCATTACATTAATAGTTTCTTCATATAGGAAGGAAATGAATACGATAAAGAAATACTCCATTGTCCAACAGATAGGAATGACATTTGAGTCTTATATACCACGAATCTGTTTGTTCATCTCGATTATGACATACGTTGTTACCGGTAATTACATTACTGCAGAGCAAGTCTTCACAATAACGTCGTTCTTCAACATCGTTCGAAATTCTATGACTGTTGGATTTCCTTTAAGTAAAGATATTTGTTATTCTTATAAAATTAAGGAATAAAAATATCTTAAAATTATTAATTTAAATTTAATTTTTTTTAATTTTTTAAATTTAAATTTAATTTTAAAATTATTAAAAAAAAAACTATTAAAAGATATGTTACGAATTTATAATATAATCTAATTATAGGCATTCATCAACTAGTTGAAGGTTTGGCATCAATACGTCGTATCGAAAAATTTATGATGCACATAGAAATTGAGAAAAGCGAGAAAAAGGCTCAAAATATTAGATTATATGAAGTGATATTGAAGAATGTAACTGCAAAATGGAACGATGAGAACAAAGAGAATACTCTAACCAGAATAAATTTATCCATTGAACCTGCTAGTCTAGTTGCAATCGTTGGAAAGATAGGTTCTGGAAAAAGCAGTTTATTACAAATGATATTAGAAGAATTGCCAGTGCAGGATGGCTCTTTGCAAATCAGTGGTAAAGTCGCTTATGTTAGTCAACAACCATGGATTTTTGCTTCGTCAATCAGACAGAATATACTCTTTGGTCATATTATGGATAAATCTCGTTACGAGAAAACTATTCAGGTCTGTCAATTAAGCGAGGACATTGCTTCGTTTCCTCACGGTGATAAAACAATAGTTGGTGAAAGAGGAATAAGTTTAAGCGGTGGTCAACGTGCTCGTATCAATCTCGCTAGAGCAGTTTATGCTAATGCAGACATTTATCTATTAGATGATCCACTTTCAGCGGTTGATGCTCGAGTAAGTAGACGTATCGTTGAAGAATGCATATGTGGATATCTGAAAGACAAGACTAGAATTTTAGTGACGCATCAGCTTCAATTTTTAAAATCTGCTGATCAAGTAATTGCAATGCACAATGGCTCAGTTCAGACTCAAGGTGATTTTAATACTCTTGAAGCTTCTGGTGTTGATTTCACGAAGTTTTTGATGGGAGAAAAGGAACTAGAAAAGAAAGAAGAATCTATAAATGAAGGAAAGATTAAAGATTCAAGAAGTATATCGAGTGAAAATATGAATGAAATATCATTAAAAGAATTGCCACCTATTGATGTGGTAGAAATGAGAACAACTGGACATGTGTCTGCTAAGGTTTACATCTCTTATTTCAAGGCAAGCAGAAGTCCTTTATTGTGTCTATTGATGATCGTATTATTCATTTTTTATCAAATGGCAGCTAGTGGTGGCGACTTTTTTGTCGCTTATTGGGTTAACATCGAAGAAAATTCCTGGATCATCTCGGAAAATAATACGGTTTTATTTGATTGGAAAGGACTTCTTAATCGAACGGAAGTAATTTACATCTATAGTGGACTGACTGCATTGACAGCAACAGCCGCCTTTCTGCAAATGTTTTGCTATTATGAAGTTTGCATGCGTTCTTCCAGAAACTTACACGACAATATGTTTCGAAGCATTGTACGAACAAGCATGCATTTTTTCAATAACAATCCAATTGGTCGTATCTTGAATAGGTAAATTTGCTAATTATTCTTTTTCCAACATTTATAAATTTCTAGTTTTTTTTTCAGATTCTCCAAAGATACTGGTGCCATTGACACACGAATGCCTATCTGTATGTTCGATATTATAATTATTGGTATTGGACTGATAGCGATCATAGTAATAGTAGGAAATATAAATCCTTGGCTGCTGATACCTGCCATTTTTATTGCTATAATTATATATTTTTTAAGAGATTTTTATTTGTCGACTAGTCGTAGCGTTAAACGATTAGAAGGAATAAGTAAGTATTTTGTGTAGTATAATGCTAATGTTTAAGTTTTCTTCTTAACTGTTTATTTATGTTTTTTCTTTGCAAAAGCTCGATCACCGGTATTTGATCACGTAAGCGCAACGCTTCAAGGCTTATCGACCATTAGAGCATTAAACGCAGAAAAAATTCTCATTAGAGAATTTGATAGTCATCAAGATCTGCATTCCTCTGCTTGGTTTATCTTCTTTTCAGCTTCACGAGCTTTTGGCATTTACATCGAACTTGTTTCTTTGGTGTACAATGCGATCATAATTACATTCTTCCTTTTTTTGAAGGATACTGTAGTCAGTGATGTTGGACTGGTTATCACACAAATGTCTCTACTTATTGATATGTTACAATGGGGTGTAAGACAGACGGTTGAAGTCGAAAATTTGATGACCTCGGTCGAGAGAGTTCTCGAGTATACTCATTTAAAAGAAGAACCAATGTTGGACTGTACTCCGAAATGTAAGCCACCGAAAGATTGGCCTAAACACGGACGTGTCGAATTTAAAAACGTGAAACTAAAATATGGACCAATGGAACCATACATTCTGAAAGATATAACATTCACAATAACTCCAAAAGAGAAAATTGGAATCGTTGGTCGTACTGGTTCCGGAAAATCGTCTTTGATTAATGCCCTTTTTCGATTATCTAGCGTGGAAGGAGAAATTTATATTGATGATTTTCCTATCAGTACAATAGGTTTGCATGATTTTCGTTCCAAAATTAGTATTATTCCCCAAGAACCAATTCTCTTTAGCGGTAGTCTTCGGCGTAATTTGGATCCTTTTGAAGAATATTCTGATCATATACTCTGGCAAGCCTTACAGGAAGTTGAGTTAAAACAAATAATTGAAGAAATGGTTGCTGGTCTAAATTCTCCAGTGTTCGAAGGAGGAATGAATTTCAGTGTTGGACAACGTCAATTACTTTGTTTGGCTCGTGCTATTATCAGAAACAATAAAATCATCGTTTTGGACGAAGCGACGGCAAACGTTGATGTTCGTACGGACTTGCTAATTCAACAAACTGTTAGAAATAAATTTAAAGATTGCTCAGTTCTTACGATAGCGCACAGATTAAATACGATTATGGATAGTGATAAGATACTTGTAATGGATACTGGCCGTTTAATGGTAATCATAAAAAAAATTTTTATTTAAAATTTAACTTCTGTTTTATTATTACTTAAAAAAAATATTTCTTGCTTAGGAGTTTGATCATCCTTATATGTTATTACAAAGTAAAAGTTATTTTTATCATATGGTACAGCAAACTGGTTCTACAATGGCAAGTGAACTCATGGAAATCGCAAAAAAAGTAAGAATGTATTTTATTTTTTTGTGAAATTCTTCTATATATTATCTGATTTTTTTCAGAGTTATTATATGATGGCAGAAAAGCCGACATCACGATAACAGTAATTATAAGTAGAAGTAATTTTTTACACTTCACTTTTCTAAATCTAAGATAACACTTTATTCTTTTATAATAAGTCATTTCTATATTTTTTATGTATACTGGTGTACACTTGTGAAGAAGCGTCTGATGTAATTTGGTTTCTTAATTTATACAGTTGAGAACGTTTACATATCAAATTTTTCTCAATCAAACTCTTACTAAAGATAACTACTTATTAAAATTCATAAACGAATCTTAAATGCTTGGAAATATTCCATGAAGAAAAAGTAATTATCCCTGCATTTATCTAAATTTATCGTCACGTAGCAATAAATATAATATTGTTAGATTTTTTGAAGAGTTTAGAAAAAGTTTTAAATATAATCCGAATTCCATACGTTACTATCACAACGATACTTCTTGAAAATAATGTTTTCTTTGAAAGAAGCCAACAAATATTTAAGAACTATTTGAAAATATACGTGATTGATAAACAGAACAATTGAAATAATTTATATTTAACAGCTTTTATCGGCATTACAAACGTATATGAAGCTACAGAATATGTTTTACATAAATTTAGTAAAATACTTAAGTCTTCAAATGTACCTTATATAATCTTATCTAATGTGGAATAATCTTGTGTTATTTTACATATAACTACAAACGATTTCTAGTGACCTGTTGGCACTATTATACAACTTCATTTGAATTACTTATTGAAATCTCAGCTTGTAATGTAACTTGTACAACTTTGTGCTTTTTAAGGAAAGCCTTGTATAGCTCTTAGCGATTCTATATAAGTCCTCTTGCGACTCAACTTAAAGACTAATTTAAATCAACTGAACTTGTATGAATGCAAATATGGAATTTTCTGGTAATTGTAAAGAGCTTAAAATCGATAATCGTTACCTGATTAAAAGATAAAAAATAACTTAAAATCGATAAAATTTCATTCAAAATGCTGGAAAAAGTGTGTAATTTTCACAGATACCAAAAGTTTGTTTGTGGCTTGACTGCATCATAGATAAATTTTAAAGTTTACAAAAATTTGATGCAAAAATCTTAGAAAAATTAAGTTTTTTTACTAAACAAAAATTCCTATAATTTAAAATCGATATAATTACAAAAAAATGTAAGAGAAAATGTGTTTTTTTTAGCATATACAAAATGTTTGTTTGTAGCTTTACTGCATGAGAGAAAAATTTTTAGGTTTACCAATTTTTAATTCAAAAATCTTGAAAAATTTTCGTTTTTTTACTAAAAAAAATTCCTTTTATTCTAAAGAGATAAAATTACAAGCAAAATGTTAGAGAAAATGTGTACTTTTTTCCAGCTATCCAAGGTTGGCTTGTAGCTTTACTGCATCAAAGAAAAATTGGTTTGTTTACCAAAATAAGATGCCCAAATCTTAAAAATTTTCGTTTTTCTACTATAAAAAAAATTCCTATAATATAAAATCTTTAGAATAACACTAAGAATGTGGGAAAAAGTTCTTCTTTTAGCATATACAAAATCTTTGTCTGTAGCTTGACTGCATCATAAAAAAATTTGTTAGTTTACCTAAATTAGATGCCAAAATCATGGAAAAATTTAGTTTTTTTACTAAAAAAAATTCCTATCATTCCAAAGAGATAAAATTACAAGTAAAATGTTAGAGATAATGTGTACTTTTATCAGCAATCCAAGGTTTGTTAGTAGCTTGACTACATCATAAAAAAGTTTGTTAGTTTATTAAAATTTTATGCGAAAATCTTGAAAAAATTTAGTTTTTTTTATTAAAAAACAATTTCTATAACTTAAAATCGATAAAATTTCATTTAAAATGTTGAAAACAATATGTACTTTTCGCAGATACCAAAAGTTTGTTTGTACCTTAACTGCATTATAGAAAAATTTTTTGGATTACCAAAATTTTAGGCTAAAATCTTCTAAGAATTTCGTTTTTGTACCATAAAAAATATATCTATGATTTAAAATCGATAAAATAACACTAAGAATGTTCGGAAAAGTGTTTCCTTTAGCATATTCTAAATGTTTTTTTTGAAGCTTTACTGCATGGTAGAAAAATTTGTTGGTCTACTAAAATTTAATGCCAAGATCTTTAAAAAATTTCGTTTTTTTACTAAAAAAAATTCCTATTATTTAAAATCGATAAAATTTCAAAAAATCATGTGTGCAGATCACACGTGTTACAAGTGAAACCTTCAAAAATCTAGGTTTCGAGAGAATGAGACGAATGGACAGTTTTAAGAGTAAGATAATTGTAGGATTTATTTATTATAATATTATTACTATATATAATAAAGGTCAC